GATTATCCTAGTACTGGGGCTGAGATCTTAAGATAGATGTTATCCCAGGGTGGTGTGGTGGGATCTTGAGATAGATGTTATTATAGGGGGGGGACTGGGTGGTGCCATACACCTAAATGGGCAAGGTATCATCTAACTTTCTCCGGGACCGCAGTTGCATCCAGGCAGCAAAACTTCTCGAGCGACGTCAAAGCAGGCTGTCCGTACCTTGCAAGGGTAGCTTAAGCCCCATGTGAAAGCACACTGGCACTGGGTCAGACATTGTTACTTGTGCGGCCCCGCTGCTGCAGGAAGGATGGCCAAACGAACTTGTCAATATAGTCCTCATGCATCGAGTGAAACGCCGCTGCTTCGCTTTTGTAAGGCCCGCGTCACCATCGCAACTAGACTCCTACAGACATGCCAGAAGCGAAGGGAAGAACCAACTGGAACAGATTTCATGAAATATTCAGTCCAGAATCATGATGAGACTTCACGATCAGCAAAAGACATGAACACTGGGAACCAAGCCAGCAACAACCAGAATGCACCTGCTGCGGAGCCCACACAACTTTAGAAATAAGAACTCCCCAAGTGCGTTTCCCAAACACCTGGCATAGTCCCTCATTCATGATCTTCCCTAACCGCACACCAAACAGGATCCCTCATGTTCAACCACTTCTGCACCTGATGCCCAAAAGCGAAGGCCCTCCCAAAAAAATCAATCCTCGGGACCGAACATCCCGAAATCTTGATGGCTAAACCCCCCGGCCCGAGCTTTCCAAGCGCTGAACCCCGAGAACATCAAACATTCCCAGGCCCGGCGCCTCCCCTTCCTTTACAGCCCGACATCCCAACTCTCGAAATCCAGGGTATACGGTTTTTGGGTATAGGGGTTTTAGGGGTTTAGGGCTTAGGGTACATAAGCCCTCCGGAAAAGCCTGATACAGCCCCGCAACAGAAAACCTTCTCCAACCCCGCGAAGACACCGAAAAGCCACCGCCCAAACCCTTCCTTCCAGAAACAAAAAGCCAGGAAAATTCGAAAAAAAAAAAAAAAGTGGCCGCCAGCTTCAGCTCCCAGGGGCTCCGAGCTCCTCGAGTTCCTCCTCCTGGCGATGCCGACGGTTCAGCCGCCTGCCGCGGCCTCGGGCTCTCAAAAAGGGTTTAGGGGTTTAGGGTTTTAGGGTTTAGGTTTTAGGGCAGAGGCTTTGGTTCAGAATTTGGGTTGAGGGTTCAGAGGCGTGAGGGTTGAGGGGAGGGCAGGGGGAGGGGGGTTGCAGTCTCTTTTTTCGAAAAATGGTGGGGTTCAGGGTTCGTTTTGGGGGGAGTAGGAGTTCAGGGCGTAGGAGCTTGGAAATTAGGTTGGGATGATTGATGCCTGCTCCTCGATGCATTTTGCAATGGAGGGCGAGCCAGCCAATTCTTGTGCTAAAGCCTCGAAGCCCTCAACCAACAAGACTAATCAACTCTTCGTCACACCCTAAACTTGAGAAACGCTGAAGAAACTTACTATTCGCCCTATCAAACCCCATCAACGTCATGACAGCGTGTACATGGTCAAGCCTATTAACCCCCATGAAATCCAAAACCCTCAGTCGCTGCCAGGCGACAAACCTCTGCCGTGCAGCGCAGAATCACGCAGAGCTTTGCTGCCGAAACCAGCTCCTGGTACTAGGGTTTAGGATTTGCTTTGGGGTTAAGGTTTAGGAGTTGCTTTGGGTTTACTGCTTCGCCCCATTTAGGGTTGTGGGCCCGGAGGGTTTAGGGCTCAGGACTTCAGGATACTTCAGGATTTCATGGTGCAGGATCCGGGGATTCGGATGCGGGGCTTCAGGCTCTCTTCTCGGCTTGCGGCTTGCGGGGTTCAGGGTTGTGGGTTTTGGGGCCCAGCGTTTAGACCTTAGGGTTCAAGGGTGCAGTCGATGTTCCGGCTCAATGTGTTGATGGCCAGTCAAGCTCACCTTCGCGTGTTCATGCCGAGCAGACCCCACAGGGGATGTTCTGCTACGCCCTTTTATAAGTGTCGGTGTGCTAGTCCCGACAACGCCAGGCCAACCTATATACAGGCCCACAACCACTCGTTTAGTACCACTCACCGTCCCCATGGACTCCATACTCTCCAGGAGTCCAGAGCTAAGCCCAAGCCAAAGCCCTGATACAGGGGCCTGGAAAGTTCTAGGCATGGTGTTTGTGACTATTCAGGCTTCTATAGTATAAGGCCCTGAGTCGCAAACCCCTCAACATCAATCCCCAGCCCAACCACAAAGAGGGACTGCCGCCTTATCCATCGCCAGAAGATGGCCCTCAGCAACCACTGCCGTCTGTTGGAGGTGCCACATCCTGAAAAATGGGCGTTCAAAGGTTTTCTGAGGGAGGCTTGGGATTCAGGACTTGGGTTCGAAGTTCGAGGCGCGAAGTCTTTTGATCTCAGGCTTCAGGGCCTCTCGGGCTGTGAACCTCTAGGAGCCGAGCTGCACGTCCTCCCGGAGCCGAGGCCAGTCCACGTTCTCCGGGCCCTCAAAGGTGTCGTCGACCTCAGCTTCATGGGCTCTTTGGGCTTCTTTGGGCTCTTTGGGCTGCTCTTTTGGGCTCTTTGGGCTCTTTGGGGTTTACAGGGTTGAGGTTCCCTTTGCCTTTTTAGCAGGTGCTTGCCAAGCTGCGCGGTCCCTGTAGCCTGCAGTCTGCACAGGGAATGCCAGTGGCATCATGCAGGCACCAGTAGCCGAGCAGAGGGAGGAGAACTGAGTCGCCGGACGCACGAAAGTCTTCAAGAAGTAATGGTCCTGGTGAACCACGCAGGCCTGCAGCTGCTCGGCAAGCCTCAGCATCCACAACGCGCCGACTCTTCTCGGTTTCGGATCTCTCAAGTGGAAGCCAAGGTTCTTTTGGGCCAAGGTTGATTTTCCGGAACCCGAAGGGCCACCTGGGCACTCACTTTGTCGCCAACTCTTGCAGCTCCCATGAATCACACGCACGCGAGTCGCGCGGTGCCGCCTACCCCCACCCCGCTGCTGCAAACAGCCCAACCCCTGCTGCAACAGCCCAACTTCCTCTCAAACAGCTCGCTCAGCATCCGGCAGATCAAGATCAGAGCCGGCGGGGGGCCGTCCGACATCGCACCCGCCCTAATCCCTGATGATGAACTCAACACTTCAACACTTCGAGAGGATGACGGGATTTTGGGGTTTCATCTTCTGCCTTCAATACGTCTGGCAGAGTTGGAAGCCTTGACATCCACAACACGCAGCACAGGCCGGAGATTCTTCAGAGGAGATCCGAGGGCAAGCCAACGGAAGCTCGAGAAAACACGAACATGCTGAAACTAGCAATATGAGTTGAGAAACTATGGCTCCACTCAGTGCGTAAGAAGAACTGACAGCGCGTGGCAATCGCAATGATAGAACGGCAGCGATAGCAGTGCTGGAATAAGTCGTAGTGCAGTACGAACAAAGTCAACCACAAGTCACTACAAGTAGTAGCCCTGGTGGATGGCTGTTTTAACCTGACGTAAATTGGCGTCTCGGCTGGGCATTCCCTGCCTATGAGGCAGGAGAGGCTTGAGGTCGGGGGTGTGTTGGGAGACGGGTTTCAAGACTTCTGGGCTTATGGATCCAGGGGTCCCAGCACGGTTCACTAACGGGCTTCGAAAGGTGGGTCGGTTGACGCCTGGGTGGCCGCTATACTAGGATCCCAATTCCTTCAGTTTGTCTGCCGCTACATCAGACCGCTCTTGCTCGACCCACCGAACGAGCCGACCGAGTGGAGCTGTCATCGGCTCGGCTCAAAGTTCGCGAAGGTGTCTCGCTCCTCCGCCGTTTTTGCTCTTGCTGGGGGGGGGGGGGGGGTG